GCCTGCCACAACGGCTGGCTGTTTTTAGAGACGAGGTCTCACTCTGGCAGTGGCTCAGGCTGGTCTCGAACTCATGAGCTCAGGCAGTCTACCCGCCTCAGCTCCCAGAGTGCTAATATTACAGGTGTGAGCCACTGTGCCCAGCCTTATTAGTCCATTTTTATAGAATAAGAAGCTGAGGTACAGATAGCCCAAAAGGGAAGCCAGTGGTCAGATCAGGATTTGAGCTGAGGCTAGTCCTCCCAGGATCTTTCCAGCCTTCCCTGAAGCTCTGGGGGCAAGGCAGCCTTGGCAGTTTCCCTTGGCCAGGACTAAAGAACCACAAGGGCCTCTGTGCTTGTCTGAGCCAGACCTTCAGTGTAGGCAGGGAGACCCAGCCCTGGAGTGGACCCAGCCCATTCCCTCTCTTGGAAATCAACCCAACTCTTAGGACACAGTACAAGGTGGTCCCTGGGAGGGTGGTGGCACAGGGCTGCTCCAGGAGGCAGAATGTGGGCCCAATGTGGAGGTGCTCAGGCAGGCCCTGAGACATGATGGCCATGGTGCCCACCCTGTAGCCCACACCAAGGACATGCCCTTCACCTGTGAAACCTGCGGGAAGTCCTTCAAGCGCAGCATGTCCCTCAAGGTGCACTCACTGCAGCACTCCGGGGAGAAGCCATTCAGATGTGAGGTGAGCTCCCTTCTGTTTTGGCCTGTCTGAGGGGCCACCTGGGAGGGGGAAGCATCAGGGACAGCAGCTACTTAAAAACCAGGGGTGTGGGGAGGCCGAATGCAGGGTCCAAAAAGAAAGACCCACCCTCTGCATCCTATCCCACCCCTAACCCAGCCCCTCACATTCAAGGTGGGACATGTGTGTGGGCTGGAGCCATGAGACAGGTTTTCTGGAGAGGTGGATTAAGGAGCACTTCAGTGGGGTGGTCAGAGATGAAGACAGCAGAGCTGCAAGTGGCAATGGGGGGCTTCCAATGAGAAAGGGGTGAAGAGCCCTCAGGCCTCCACTGTATCACCTGTTTCCACCTCCTCACCTCATTCCCTGCCTGGACCCTGTGTGCTGGTGTCTCCTCCTGTGCCATGCCTGCCCCAAGAACCCTTTCCATGTGTATGCATCCTTGAGGCCCTGCTGCAGCTTCCCCAAGGCTGCTCTTCTGCTCTATGCCTGGGCCTCACCCCCCACCCCCACCCCCAGAACTGCAACGAGCGCTTCCAGTACAAGTACCAGCTGCGGTCACACATGAGCATCCACATTGGCCACAAGCAGTTCATGTGCCAGTGGTGTGGCAAGGACTTCAACATGAAGCAGTACTTCGATGAGCACATGAAGACCCACACAGGTGCGACTGCCCAGGGGGAGCGGCTCCATGTCAGTCCTGGGACCCCTTCCCAAGTCCAGGCCTCAGTTTACCCAAGTCCAAGCCTCAGTCTGAGGCTTGCTGCCATCCTTCCTGCTTCCTCAGGTCCAGTGAGGCTGGCACCAGTTGACCGAAGTGTCGGTGGGGGGTTGGGGGTGGATCTGAGAGTGCCAGGGGTGGACTGCTATGGTTCTGTGGGATGGGGAGGCTGGGCCTGGGTTACAGATTGCAGTATGGTAACCCTCCAGCGATCCCTGCCGCCCCTCTACTCCCCAGGGGAGAAGCCGTACATCTGCGAGATCTGTGGCAAGAGCTTCACCAGCCGGCCCAACATGAAACGGCACCGGCGCACACACACTGGCGAGAAGCCCTACCCGTGCGACGTGTGTGGCCAGCGCTTCCGCTTCTCCAACATGCTCAAGGCCCACAAGGAGAAATGCTTCCGCGTCAGCCACCCCTTGGCCACTGATGGCCCAACCTCCACCCCAGCCCTGCCCCCAGCCCAGCCTCAGGCACACGCGCTGCCCCTGCTCCCAGGGCTACCCCAGACCCTGCCGCCCCCGCCGCACCTGCCACCCCCACCTCCGCTCTTCCCCACCACTGCCAGCGCTGGCGGGAGGATGAATGCCACCAACTAGATGCTGAGCTGCACCTGCTGGGACCTGGAGTCCAGGGTCCACTCCAGGAGGGACCCCACTGCTCTCCTTCCTGGGGAGGGCAGCAGCACGAGCCTGGGCCGCTGCTCCCCACCTCCAGAGGTGGCTGGATGTGCTTCGCCCGAGACCCCTACCCTGGGGGGTGTGCAGGCTGGCAGCCCCCAGAGCTGGTAGAGGACATCTCACTCCCAAGTGCCCCCCCTTTCTGCAACTCCCTGAAGCCTTTACTTTTTGCTTTTTTGGAAGTGAAGAAAAAAGAAAAGAGGAAACTATTTGCAGTACCCACCTCCAGGTGAGGAGGGTGCTGGAGACAGCAGGTACAGCGAGGAGGGAGAAGCCCAGGTGGCAGGCGTGGTGGCCAGTCATGCTGCTGAGGCCTGAGCCAGAGGACGGGGTTGGCCAGGCCCACCCTGGATCTGCCTCAGTGGTTTATCCCCACATTCCCATGCCCCTAATTTGCTCCCTTACCCTGGAGGGTTTGTGGAGAAGGGGTGCCAGCCCCCTAGAAGAGTTGTGGACCCAGTTGGAGTGCTGTGGACACCAAGGCAGGTCTTGAGACTGGACACCAGTGAGCAAGGGTGGGGAGAGTCAAGAAGCAGGGACTAAAGCCCTGGCTCTGCACCAAGCAGAGTGGGGAAGGCAGGGGCTGGTCCCCAGGGGCTGGCTTTCCCCACCCACATCCCTGCCAGCAGGCCCAAGAGTCCCCAACCTGCACCAGGCAGCACTGAGTGTCCTGAGTCCTGGAGAAGATGTCCCCAGAAGCTGCTGGGCCT